GGGCACTGCCCTATCTCGGAGCAGAAGCAAACCTTCTCCCCGATCCAAGCTTCAACTGCTTTTCCACCTTGACAACCAATTGAGCCACCTCCTCCAAATCAATGAATTGATGTAGCTCAACCTCATTCTGAATCTCCCTGTTCTGTCCGTGCAAGAATCATGAAATTGTAGCCTCGGAATCTTCTCGGACGTCGGCTCTGATCAAGAGCAATTCTAGCTCTTTGTAGTAGTAGTCAACTGATCTCGATCCATGACAAATTGACTGCAGGGCCTCGTGCAGCTCTCGATGATAATACACCTGCACAAATCGTCCGCGCATTAAACCCCTTAAATCGTCCCAGGTTGTCGCCAGAGGTCGCATGTTTTTGTTGTCGTCGGAGACGAACTTGCTCCCACCACTAAGCGGCGTAATCCGTGAACTCATACGTGGCCAAGGCGATCTTCTGTGAATCCGTGTACTGGCCATACTGAAAGAACAAAAGAATCTTGCCTCTCCCAATCCAGATAGGCAGAGGCATTGATCATACCTTGGAAGGTCGGAACTGACAGTTTGATTCCACGCAATTCCGACACTTGAACTTTGTCTGCTTCGCATTCAACTCGGGGAAAGTCTAATTGTTGTCGATTGTGTTGTCGTCGATCATTAGGATTGACTTCTAGAGTCATCAATTGCCCCTCAAGCTCCTGAACCCGTTCCGCCAGAACGCGATCGGTTTCTGGGTTTTCCCTCAGATGTTCGTCGAATTGACAAGGAGGTATCAATGGCGTACGTTGAGCATGTGCCGCAATTGGGGTCACCGTGACTAGACCTCCTTGTTGACTCAACGTCGCGACATGTTGGTTCAAAACATCGAACTTGGGTGAAAGAGCTTGGAATTTCTCGTCCTTTTTCGTCAGTTGCGTTTGGAATCAGGGATGGCAATTACCCACCCATGGACAATTATACCCAAATCCAAGTAAACCCATTTATAATGGGTTGGGTATGGGTGAAGTGTATATGAGTTTGGGGGTTTGTAGATAGGTTGGGTATATGAATATTGCTTTCATGATCTAAATGAGTATGGGTTGGATATGGATATCCATTTACTTGAGATTGTTTTAACTACACATGCAAAAATTGGACCTATTTGTAAAACTTGAAAAGTTTAGGTACCAAAATGTAAGACCAAAAAAATTTAGGTACCAAACGTAATTTTCCATCGATATTTTGAGGACTTATATACAAAAAAAATTAAATTTAGATACTAAATATGCATATCTATTAATTTTAGGTATCAAACTGTACTTTACATTTGGGCATGGGTATAAACCCAAATCCATTTGTTATAAACCCAACCCAAGTAAATGGGTATGGGTACAAACCCATCAAACTTTACCCATATCCATCTATTTGGATTTCATACCCAACCCAATTGGGTTGGATAGTAAAAAACCCATGGGTATGGGCAAAATTGTCATCCCTATTTGGAATAGAACAACCACTTGCTGTTGGAAGAACTGTTGCAGCTCGGTCATCATGATGGGTTGATTCTCACTCATCGCGTCCTTTGCACAATCAGCAGCGGTCTAGGCGTCAATTTCGGTGGATTTACTTGCCGCTGCCGCTGCCGCTGCTTGCTTCTTCTTCTGTTCCGAGAGCAACACCAGCAGATCACTTAAAACAAGGCCCTTCGACCTTGTCCAATGAACATCTTCCTTCGTCGCAATCGTCTTCTTCGCCACTATGTAGAACCAGGCTATCGATGCCACTTGACGAGCCCAAAAGAGGGTCTCAGTTGGATCAGAAATGGCGCAACTTCAAAGATTCAAAGAAATTGAATCTCCTCGAAGCAAGAACACAAACAGAGCTATCAAAATGAGCTTGGAGAGCTAGTTTGAACTCGGAATTAGATGGAACAAAAGGGAAATCTAACACCTAGGAGATTGCACGTCTATAGAATGATGCCTTCGATGTAATTGAGTGGGATATCTCAATCAATAGGCTAGGGTTCAACAAGTTTTGGGACGCACCAAAACAAAAACTCACAAATTCACGTTTGAGAATTAGGGTAATTTGCTCTCTATTCAATCTCCCTTGTGCCTTACACGAAGCAAGCCTTTTATAGGCATACACAAACTCAAACAAACTCAAAACACAACTTGAAATAAACCTAATTCAACAAGTAAACTAATTCTACTCCTAATTCGAACCCAACAAGGATTCTGCCTCTTAACTTACAAAACAAACAGTTCTAACTAGCAACTTTGGGATGTCTTGAACATGGATCAAATGAACTCTAAAGCTTCAGCCAATTCATTTAGGTTGTAGGTTGAAACATGTACTTTCATGTGGCATAACTCTCTGGCCTTGATTCTCCTCTATCTGGTTCGAATTAAGCTCTCAAGATAGCTCCTCAACCATGGTTTCTGCCTTGGCCATTTTCAGGCAGTTTCTCGGTTTCAACTGGGCACTTTGGAAAGCTTCGATCATGACCTTCCGGGCTTCCCCTTGAGCATCCAAGCATTCATATTTGTAGAAGAACTCTCCACCTTCAATACAAGCCCTTAAACTCTAGTTTTCACCAAGCCAATCAAGAGAAACAAGCCTCCCAAGTTGGCAACTTGAAACATAGAAAAAACTTAAACCAAAATTCAAATATCATTTTCCCAATTAAACTTGTTTCTTGATCAAGCCATGGAAGCTTGTAATGCAAGCAATTTGAGATCATATCAATGGCTTGGGAAAGAATCCCAAATGATGGCTGAAATGCCATCGATAATCTCTTCATTGCTCAAACACTCGACCTCAAGAGCTTCTTCCCAATAAAACATGACAACAATACACTTGAGTTCTTGTGAATTGGGGTTAAAGACGTTATTCTCCTCATCAACGAAAGAAATTGTGCGATAAAACATGACAACAATACACTTGAGTTCTTGTGAATTGGGGTTAAAGACGTTATTCTCCTCATCAACGAAAGAAATTGTGCGAATATGATGGAGAAAGGAAGGGGAAAATGGGTGGGAATAAAATAATTGGTCTCTTATAGTTGACGTAAATAGTAAATACTCTCTTTATTACACATATATGTACCGGTACGTAGGGGTGGAGGTTTGGGTTGCGGGTTGTGGATAATCCGCAAACCGCACCAACCCGCACCTATTGTGGGTAGTGGGTTTGGTGTGGGTAGTAAAATAACGATTTTTGTGGTTAGTGGTTATCCACTATCCATAGCGGTTAACCCACAAAATCCACAATAACCACACTAATTATATTTATTTAGTGAATTAAATTTATAATATAATAGTATGTGAAAAGTGCGAGGATACAAATTAAAATAGCCACCAAATAAAAAAGACACACCTAATCAGTTTTATGTAAGAATTTTTTAGTTTATAAAACACTATAATCGATAGAGTGGAGAATAATCAATTCATTAAAAGTGAACACTTTTTATAACTTTTATGAGTATGTTTTTGCTTTTGTGTGAAAAAAATACAAGATCATATTTAATTGTCATCTTTCACCCCTAGTCGGGGAAATATGAAATCACAACTCTCTGACACAAAAGTTGAATACTAAACTCAAAAATAAAAAATCTCCACGTTGAGTAAGATCGATGTACAAAATTGTATCTCCACGAACAACACAATTGTATATCACTATAGTCTAGTTACGAACAACAAATACGTTAGTGGCGACTAGAACTCTATGCTTGCAAAATATGAATTTTTGCGGGTAACCACACCCAACCCGCACAAACCCACAGTGGGTAGTGGTACCCACTAACCACTGCGGTGCGGGTTGTGGGTAACATAATTGTAAATTTGTCTGTGGGGGTACCTGCAAAATGTGGGGCGGGTAACCACACCCACCCCAATTTTCACCCCTACTAGTACGTATTTTATCTGTTTAAAACTTCTGTATTCGTATTATTGTCAAGCCGTTTCATTTTCCCTCGTTCATTTTATGGCTCTCATACTAAACACGTATAAAACCCATATAACACGTTTATTATCCGTATTTTATGAATTAAATTGTAACTTTACTATTATTTATAGTATATATTTATTTTTAAAATGATTAATTTTATATATTTATGACTATTAACGTAATATTAAACATAACTTTAGTTTAGAGACGAAGTATAATACCTGTACGTATCTTTTACATAATTTTCCCGTATCGTATTTTAACGATAGTTGGTAAATGGAATACACGCAATAAATGGGATAAGTTTTTTTTTTACAACTGGAATAAGTTATTTTCAGAACGGGGTTTGCGCAATAAAATTTAGGGCTGGGAAACGGTGCGGTCTGGTCCAGACCAGACCATATATACGGTCTATGGTCCAGACCGAGAGGCTAATGTATAGACCACAGACCAGACCACAAACTATACGGTCTGGTCCAGACCATGCCTGTGCGGTCTGGTTCGGTCTGGTCTGGTCCAGATAGACCACACTCAACGAAAAATGAATAATTTGTTTAGTCAACCACACAAAAAATTGAACCAATAACGAGGAAAAATAATTGTTATTTGCTTTAAATCATTAATCCTAACATGCATGAATAATTTTGATACTCTAAATCTTAGTACATAACAAAGATACAAAGTAAAAGCATCCCAACTTGCACCATAATGTCATAAACATTAACATAATTTCATATGGAGACACGATTATCTCTACTCTCTGGTTAAATGTGGTTGTGAATGAAGGAGGGACGAGATTCACAAAACTAAGGTTCAGACTTGGGTGTCATTGTGGGAGTTGGGAGAGTGGTCGAATGGACTGTTAACACGTATTGACAAATCAGTTGGGTTCACGGTTTGGTCTGGTAAACCGCGGTCTAGACCAGACCAGACCAAGAGATCAAAACATAAAATAATATAGACCATGGACCAGACCAGACCATACTTTACAGTCTACGGTCCGGACCAAACTGTACGGTACGGTTTGAATCACGGTTTTTCTAACGGACTGGTCTATTTTCCCAACCCTTATTAAATTAATTGGAAGACAATTATCAGGTCAATTTCATGGGCCTGCAATATATCGACCAAAAAAAAAAAAAAACAAATGGCCCAACTCAAACCCACAAGTCCTACCTCTGCTCTGAGCTCGTTTCTCCCTCTCTCTCCCTCTCGCTCTCTGCAGAACAGATCCTTCCTCTCATTCTCTCTCCGTCTCTCCGTGGAAAGCCAGAACGATGCAGGCGGTTTCAAGGCGATTGGGGCACCGTTACCTGAAGCCCGCTGCTTCTGTCTACCCGCTCTCCGATCACTGTAATGTTCCATTTCCTCCGATTTACACAGGGTTCTCTGCGCCAATGCCTCGAATTTGCTTCATTTGGGATCCTTCGCCAATCGACTTACTTTTTCCCTTTGGCAGATTATGGAGTTGAACATCCGCGCTACATATCAACTATAACCCCGAAGGGTGTAGGCCACCTTGTCCGGAAGGGTACCGGCGGGAGATCGTCGGTCAGGTAAGAATATGATTCCCCCCTCTCCAACTCTCGAATTTCCCCCCAATGATCAATTTTTTGTTGTTGTTGTTGCTGAATTGCTAATGAACGGCATTAGCTGCCATTTGGGTTGAAAAGAAAGATTTGTTGGTTTCAGTTCGGAATTGGTTTGTCAGTTGGCCACGGCGGAATCCAGTAGCCATGAAATGTTTTCACTTTTATGTTTTGCTGCAGTGGGCTCATTGCTGTAGTCTTTGGAGCTACTGGTTTTCTAGGTCGTTATGTTGTGCAGCAACTTGGTGAGTCGTTCTTACTGTCAATTTTGTACATTACCACATGGAAGTCATATTAATCTCTCTCCTATCGCACTTTGCATCCGGCATTCCTCCCGCCAGTCTTCCCCTCTCGTTATCCTATCATCTTGGTTTTACCATTGCTCCCCCGTTCTGCATTTTCTTAATGTTACGACTTACTGTCATTTTTACTGTTGCAGCTAAAATGGGATCGCAGGTTTTAGTTCCATTTCGTGGTGGTGAAGATGCCCATCGCCACCTAAAGTTGATGGGAGATTTGGGTCAGGTAATGTGCTTTTGCTATTCAACTTTGAGTGGAAGGACTCCATGTAATGGGCTCTTTGATTCAATGCTTCCTGTGGTGTGGCCATTTCACATATTTTCATGTTCAGGTTGTACCAATGCATTTCAACCCAAGAGATGAAGATTCCGTGAAGGCTGTGATGGCGAAGGCTAATGTTGTTATCAATCTTATGGGTAATTATTTTCACCTGTGGCTTGACAGGCTTTTCAAAGTCCAAGAGTGTTTTTATTTAGCTTAAGAAGTCACATTTCCCTGTTGACAGGAAGGGACTATGAAACAAGGAACTACAGCTTTGAGGAAGTTAACCATGGCATGGCTGAAAAATTTGCCACGGTAGGTTCCTACATGCCTCTTACCTAAACTGAGATAATCTGTTGAATTTGTTAGCTTCTGGTGCTTCTTTTTTCACCTTTTAATCTGAGTAATCTTTGAGAAGCCTCAAACAACTGATATTGTTTTTATGAATTGGGCCATGTTTGCTATCATATGTAATGTGGGGAAAGGGAAAACCAGTGAAAAAAATATGCAGAGATTAATTGTCATTCAAGGAACAAGTTGTGACGTTCCTATATTAGCAACTAGAAATTTAGCAATTGCTGATCAGCTGTTGAGTAAAGTGTGGGCCCAACATTTTTTCCTTTTAATTGTCATAGTGAAAAGAAAACTAATGGCAACCATAGATGTGAACAGAAATTCAGCTGTAAGCATATGAAGAGAAATGATCTGATTGGAAAGGTGTATCTTTTCTCTGATCCGTTCCTCATTGACTGGTTTTATGATGACTTTGTGTCAAGAGTCTTAGGCTTCAGTCACCTTTTCATGTGTTATTTCCTTTTAGGTACTAATATTATCCAAAATCTTCATGGGTTTAATTGACTTGCACAGATCGCAAAAGAGCATGGAGGTATCATGAGATTTATTCAGGTTTCTTGTCTGGGAGCTTCGCCATCATCTCCATCAAGGTATCTGAAAGCTAAGGCAGCAGCAGAGCAGTCTGTTCTAAGAGAAATACCCGAGGTTAGAATCTATAGTGATTAATTGCCTTGTTGAAGTATATGAATTTACTTTGTTTATAAAAAAAAAAAATGTTGAACTATTATCACATTAGAAATGTTGACAAATTTTATGATTGTGAACTTCTAACAACTAGTAAAGTGTTCTTATCTAATTTATGCAACCGTCCAATGAAATTCGATTTTCAGGTTTCTTATGTATATCTGTCATGTTTCGGTAAGATATAGGTATCAGTTGTTTAAAATCTTGCTGTGGAATTTGATTATAAAGGACCGGAGTCATGTCAGTTACCTCATGATGGATGTGCTGCTTTACTTTATAAGTGGTTCTACTTGGTGAAAATGGTTAAAGATGAGAGAATGCAGTGCTGAAAGAAAAAGTCCAGCATCAACATTTTAGTATAACTTAGCTGCTACCTGTGAAAAGAAAATTGTTAGCCGTTACTTCAGTTTTCTAATAGATTTTAGTGCTTGAACATTCTTTTGAGAGGTGTGAAATCAATGATCAATGGTTCCCTTATGAATTATCCTAGGGATGCAAGATGGTTGCTTTCCCCACGGAACTCTCATTGTCTTTCTCTTTTGTCTACTTAACTATATGTATCTGTTTCAGTTGTGATACTACTTCGATTGCCTTTGTGATGCATTTCTGATGTACAAGTGTACGCTGTAGGCCACAGTTTTGAGGCCTGCTACAATGATTGGTACAGAAGATCGTATGTTGAACACATGGGCACACTTTGCGAAGAAGTATTCATTTGTTCCTCTCTTTGGAGATGGATCAACTAAGTATGTACTATTTAAGAAGTATCTAGAGTTTAATTATTCGACTATTTAGTGTATCTATGATCTCCTAACCATATGTTTGTCACAGGTTCCAACCTGTATATGTTGTTGATGTTGCGGCTGCAGTTGTTGCTGCTTTGAAAGATGATGGGACCAGTATGGGAAAAATCTATGAGCTTGGTGGACCAGAAATCTTTACAATGCATGAACTGGTAATTTTTGTCTAATGTCTTTCCTGTTGCAGCGGTAATCAGTAGATGACAGTTACTCAAAAGGCTATTTTGTGCTCTACAGGCAGAGGTCATGTTTGAGACAATCCGTGAATGGCCTCGCTATGTCAAAATTCCACTTCCTGTTGCCAAGGTAGTTCTTGGATATAAAGGATACTGAAACTGTTTGTTGGCTATCCTATAGCCTATTCCATAACAATATGGTGGTGTTATTTCACGTTGAAGTTTGCAATATGATTCAGCAGTAATGCCTGTTGGATTCTTGCAGGCAGCTGCTATGCCAAGAGAAATCCTACTTAACAAGGTTCCGTTTCCTTTACCTACTCCAAGTATCTTCAACCTGGATAAGATAAATGCAATTTCAACAGATACCCTCGTCTCAGAAAATGGTTAGTTCCGTGAATTGATTTGAGTGATTTCTGGTTTTACTTCCTACTCTGAATATATTATCTTACAGTGCCCCTGCACTTGGTCTGTTTTGCAGCTTTAACCTTCCTTGATCTTGGGATTGAGCCACACAAACTGAGAGGATACCCTATCGAGTTCCTCTTATCCTACCGGAAGGGCGGCCCACAATTGGGCTCTACAGTCAGCGAGGGAGTATCACCAGACTCTTTGCCGTAACTTAGATATTCAGATTCCTGAATGTTTACGATCGGTGAAAATTGTGGCATAAATTTTTTAGACTCGTGAAGGCGAAGGACTGATTTCCGGTCCATGAATTGTTTCCCCTTAGTGGCGATTCAGAAGCAAGAACATCCATCCGAATAACCTTTGCCTCGCCGTGGAACTTGTTTATGACTATGTATCAGAAATGCAGTTGTATCTTTGGTATCTTTTGTAGAGTTTCATAAAGGCAGTAATAATATCAATGGGTTTCCCTAAAAGTTGCCAACTTTCCATACTGAGTCACAGAAGAAAAGAACACAACTGAACTTCCACCAGCTTCATGTTATTTGGATGGTTTTATCAAGGGGATCTCTAGCTTATATCATTCTGTTCATTCAGCATTAGCGTTCGCAAGATGCAACGCGCATTGCCCTCTTATGATTCGGTACATAATTGTTGGCTTCTTTTTTCATGGTTTTGCTCATAAATAAGCAACTGGGGAAGAACCTGAAGCTAGGAAGGCCAGCCAAAGTCTGGATCTCTAGAGTGTGGCTCAAGTCATACCAAACTGAATCTTTGAGCTTACTTGTAGCAGGAGAAACCTCGTGCAACACCACCCCAAACCCCACCCACCCTTGCCAAAAGACCATAAATATTGTTGCTGCAAACCCTCTTGTTTGAATTTCCATCTCTTCAAACTTCGTCCAATCTGCAGATTCTCATGGAATCAGAAAGTGGTTATGCTGGGTTCAAGATGGAAGGGAAGAACTCCGGTGCCTCGATGTACATTCGTTCTGACGATGATCTTCCTAGGAAGCTTCAGGATGGGGCCTGCTGCATCAACATATACGTGAACAACAACGTTCAGGGTGTCAACAACTCCATCCTGGCAGAGAGCCAAGTGACCATGAAGAATCCTGGCGTTGCCATCTATCTGAAATTCGTCGAAAGATGGAATCAGAAGCGGAAGAGGTCAGTCTCGAAGAGGAAATGTAGGACGAAAAGGGAAGATGTGGTGAAGAAGAAGAAGAAGAGTTCAGGATCAGGTTCGAAGCTGGGGTTGGTTGGGTTTCCTGGGATGTTGGTTTTCTTGGGGACTTTCTTCTTAGTTTCTGTGTTCCTGTCGCTGACATAGGGAATTGGAGAGCTGGGTCTGCGAAACTACTCTGTGTTCCTTTGTAATATTTAAACTAGCTTTTACCAAACACAGGAATTTCGTTTCATCTTTTACTATTTGCATTAATAAGTTCATTCGCATTTGCAAATTATTTGGAATCTTCTTGATAGTTTATTTGAAATTAACATAGATGCGAATCTTGGCACCTGAGATGATCGTAACAGGATGTGATTAAGAATAGAAATAGAGAGAAATGAGAAGATTTGGGGAGAAGAAGAGTAAGAACTGGTCGGCGGTCGATTTAGGGAGAAGAGAGGAAATTAGGGTTGGGAGATACGTAGAATTATTTTTTGATTGATTCTTTTACTGAAGGATAAATTACATTATATAGACACTGACACGAAACCCTTATCGACCTAACAGAGCAAAATACTAAATTGCCCCTATAGTACATTATGCTAGTTGTTACATACAGATTAGTGATAATTAGCTCAGGTATTTTATTGATCATTCATCCTAGCTTAGAATTGTCTATAGAATTTTTCATATTTTAGAATAATTTTTTTTGTTTCCACAAATTGCTTATCAAGTATTTTTTCTTAAATTTTTATATTATTAACTTGTTTTACTATTAACTCCAAATGAGAATAATACAATTATGCACGGAAATTCTAACTAGGAACTCAATGGTGGCGTAGTAATATGGAAGGATAAAACTCACATGCTGGGTTTTAAGAAGAACCTATATATGATCAAAATGCGAATTCATTTTTAATTCGTATATATTTTCAAGACAGTTATGTTGCTAAGAGTTGACATTGACATATAAAGATAGCCCAAGACTATTGGTCAAAATCTCAAATCTTCTAAGTATTCAATGGCTAGCCAAGGCTCACTATCTTAGTCCAAAAAATGTGGAGTAATTATATTTATACGATTGCTGATTGAATACAAAATTTCTATATTAATGCAGATGATTTTAGAAAAACTAATGTTTTGCGATCTACATTTAATTTTTAATTCATATATTACGGAAGTGAGTGTAATATAAACAAAAACTTAAAACTTAGTGGTGTTTGTTACTATCGGTTGTCATTCAAGTGTTGAAAGAGCATTTACTGCAATAAGCAAAGTAAAGAAACACTTCTAAGTAAGATGAGTTGTGGGATCATGAGAGATTTTTCCATGTGGTATCTTAACATCCCTCATAGTTTGCATGATAAATGTATTTTAGATTTTTTTTCAAAACACGAGCATATTCTATAACATACATTTTATATATATATATATATATATATATATATATATATATATATATATATATATATATATATATATATATGATGACTTCTATCGTATACCAGACATATATTAGGTTATGTCATAAACCAGCAATCTCCACCGTCCACGTCGATCTCAACGGCCAACATTAATGCGGGTTCTTTTTGTGGGATCAAAAATAAATTATCTCATTTATACTGGCCGTTGAGACGAACGTAGACGGTGGAGATTGTCCGGTGCACGACATACACCAGGTTGTAGAACGGTCCTGTCATGGGTGGGAGAGGGAGAAAAGAAAGTCTGGGACTAGTATGATTTCATACACCATCAGAAAAGAACTGTGTACGATAGAACCATCCATATATGTATATTCCATATTTGACCCATTTTAAATGAATTTCTGGCTACGTCATAGTAAGTATTTATGTATTTATTTTCTTAATAATAACTTTCTGGGTAAAACAAATAACTATGTATCATGATTAAAAAAACAAGTGAATATTTAAAAAGAAACATAGGGGTTTTTTAGATCATTGGATTTTGGTGTTGCATTTCGTATCCAACATCAATGAGACTTTTCCAACTCCGCCATTTAAAGGCCCTAAACATGCATACTGAATTTGGGAGTCATGTAAAGAAAAGTTTTTGGTGTCAAATTTGCTGTTGGTTTTCATAAACTTCTGATATACTTTAATAAAATTGTGGTATCTGTTATGAGGTTTTTGGTATGCTTCAGGAAACTTGTGGTTTACCTTAAAAAATTTGTGGTATGCTTTAATAAACTTGTAGTATGCCTTGTGAAGTTTTCGGTATGCTTTAGAGAACTTGTTGTATGTTTTAAACAACTTGTGGTCTGCTTTTTCTTTTTGTTTTGTAGAAGTGCACTTTAATAAACTTGTGGTCTGCTATGAGCATAGGCGGAGCTAGGGGGTATGGGATGTGTCCCGAGACACAGGTAATTTTTTGGCAAAATAAAATATCTCATATATATGTATCAATTAAGGATTGCACACATCAACGTTAGGTAATATAAAAGTGTTTTATCACTATATTACAAGTTATTTCAAGTTTAAAAGCTAACATAAATCAATGTATCACACTATAAACAAAATTCCCGGTACCTAAAGGTCGATCTCTTTGTCTTCTGAAGTTAGTTTTGACTCTACTCGTTGCAATTGCAAGTGTAGAAAGAACAATTTCAGCTTTGAGTTATATTAAAAACAAGTTTCAAAGTCGAATTGCGACCAATTTGCTAATGATTGCTTAGTCGGATACATTGAGAATTTGAAAATACGTTGTGATTGCTTATGAAAATAATGATCGTATTAGTCTAGCATTTCTTTAATATATATGAATACATGATTTAGATATTATTAGTTTTAATTATATTTATTAAATATTTATTTATTTATTTTATATTATGGAAAGACGACACATGTACTTTCAGATTCTGCCTCCGTCACTGACTATGAGGTTTCTGGTGTGTGTTTAGGGAACTTGTCGCCGTTTTTAATAAACTTGTGGTTCCATAGGTAAATTAGAGTTTTGATACCTAAACTTAACATATTTTAAGATGTAGTAACTATTTTTTTTGGCATATAAGTCCTACAAATATTGATGAAAAATAATATTTTAGTAGCTATAAATTATATATCTTATATTTTGATACTTTTTAAATGTACAAATAGATCCGCATTGCGTTTGCCTCATAATTTTTTATAATGACAAGCAAGCCCATTTCTTCATTATCCTGGTCAATATCTTAAAATAAAAAAAAATCATTATTCATATTGACTGAAATTAGTATTAGCATGATACTAAAAAAAAAAATACGAAGAATCCCTCAACTAGAAAACATTAATAAAAAGTTTCCAATAATTAATAATTAGAAATTGATGAGTTTGACATAGTCTTAATCCAAGTTCACGACATAGATTTTTGGATTTAACAATGTTTTGTTGTGGAATGATGTGGGGAACACCATCTCCTCAATCACTTGGCAATTAAATTTTTATTAATTATGTCGTCTTGCACATAACAACCCTCCATTTTGTTCTTTTTCTTTTCAAACAGACACACCATCATATCATATGATCGTTAATCCAACACCTTGAATCTTGATTAGGTCTTCCAACATATATGTCAACTCTTTTGCAGCTGTTCTTTTTCTGCGTCGCAATCACGATTTTGTACACACTACACACACGTTTATTTATAATAAATGAGAAATGAATACATCATTTTCAGAAGAATTGAGCCGAGTGAATAAATCAAAGAAACTCAAGCAAAATCACTTGTCTAACATGAACCACAAAAGTGAAAGGAAGCTTGCCGTCCGATGATGGAAACATTTGGCCAGTTTATGGATAGGGCTTAGTAACTCAGATTTTATTAATACAAATCATTAGGGTGGCTATACGGTCCGGTCTGGTTAAATTGACCCGAATTGATTTGGTTTTGGTTTGGTCTTTTCAAGAATATAAGGACCAAATATTGGATTGGATACAGTTCGGTCTTGAATCGGTCCGGTCCTAATTCGGTATTGATTTTAGATTGAGCTTGTGGGAATTCGAGTGGCCTGAGAAGGGATTTGAGTGGCCTAGGGTATGAAAGGGTGAGAAGGTTAAATTTTGGGTGTTGTACTCTCTTATCCGGTCTTTATCCGATTTTTCGGTCCGGTCTCAAACGATTTTTTATCTCAATCTAAACCGAAAAATTGGATTGAATTGTTTGCTATTTGATCCCTATCCAATTTCGACGAAAACCAAAAAGGCCGGACCAAATAGTCAGCCCTACACATCACTACAAAGAAATATTTATACTAGCCATTGCAGTCCAATAAAACGGAGCATGGGTGCAGAGTAGTGATATGCATTAACCCTACATACAGTGGCTGAACTAGGAATTAAAACTAGGTATGTCATCTTTCCAAAATATAATTATAAAAATAAATATTTAATAATTACAATTAAAATCGAGAGAG